TTGTCTCCTATCAAGGAAAAAGTGGTTGGGAATGTGAAGACAGCTTATTATACAAGCCAGGTCATGAATTGGTAACATTGCTGGTCCACAGGAAAGAAATGACAGAAAAAGAGCAAAATGAAATCAAATTCAGTAAGTCAGACTTTACAAATCTGAAGAATTTATAAAATCTTTCTTGATTGTAAGGGGAAAAACTTATTATTATTATTCAGAAGGATAATACAGACACAGAAAGCACCCCCAAAAGAGAGGAAAGCTAAGAAATGTAGTAAAAGTAAACCTTTGGCTTTTTAGCAAAGCTGGCTAAGTCACAGATTCTTCATTGATTTCAAACATAAGAAAACAAGGGGGATGAAAATAGAGTTGAATCACTGGGGAGTATAAGGTAAAGCCCAGCTATACGCATGGAGGATCACACTCAGGTATCTGCAGTTTGCCAGGCTTCCGAGTACTCCGTGAACACAACAGGAGCAAGTGGAAGGCAGCGTCAGACCATGACAGCAACTCGTAGATGAAATGAAAGGGTCAGAAAGTTCTCCAACTCCTTTGCATCTCACTAAAAGGTCAAGTCTAAGCAGCACAGGAATAAGATTTCAGCCTAAAAGAGAGAAAGAACAGAAAGGTATTTTCATAGAATCATAGAATGCTTAAGGTTGGAAAGGACTTCTAAATGTCATCTAGCCCAACCCCCCTGCACACGCAGGGTCACCTAGAGCACGTGGCACAGGACTGCATCTTAGCAGGTTTTGAAGATCTCCAGAGAGTGAGACTCCACAACCTCTCTGGGCAGCCTGTTCCAGTGCTCTGTCACCCTCACTGGTAAGAAATTTTTCAAGTTCCTGGGGAACTTGTGATGCTTCGGTTTCTGGCTGTTTCCTCTAGTTCTGTCGGTGGCCACCACTGAAAAGAGGCCAGCACCATCCTCCCCACTGCCTCCCTTGAGGTACTTATAGACACTGCTCAGATCCCCTCTCAGCCTTCTCTTCTCCAGGCTGAACAGGCCCAGCTCCCTCAGCCTCTGCTCACAGGGCAGATGTTCCAGCACACTGCTGCCTCATGGTCAACTTGTCATCCACCATGACACCCAGGTCCCCCTCTGTAGAGCTGCTCTCCAGAACGTCAGTCTCCAGCCTGTGCTGGTGTCTGGGGTTATTCCTCGTCAGGTATTTTCTGTCTGCTTGGCCTGACAAACTTCATCCTAGATACTCCCAGCAGCAGCTGAAGCGCGCCCAGGCAATCTGAGCAATCATCTTACAGAACTTCTAGGAAATAGGCAAGACAGGAGAAGAATAGAAGGATTAAATACTGCTTTTGCAAAGGGAATTAAAAGCAACAATAACAAAAACATATGAGCTGGCAAAGGGAAACGGTTACACACTTGTTAACCTGACCGCAGTCTCTGGGAGAGTTCTGGAAGAAATAACAACACAGACTATTTGTAAGTACATGGAAAACAACCACATGAACAGAAACCTCAGCAGAGGTTGTACAGAGGATATACGCAGCTCCAGTATGAACCCCTGTATGGCAAGGGAACAGACTTCATAGGTTCATCATCATACCCCTGGCAAGGTGCGCCTTGAAATGTCTTATGTGACCTTCCCAAAAGCAAGTTAATGAAATACAGTCTAGATAAAATTACTGCTATGCAGGTGCAAAACTATTTGGATAACCCTCCCCCAAGAGGGGCTATGAATGGTTCTTTGTCCCAGAAGTCTATTCAGAGTAAGGTTTTGCAGAGTCTGGGTCTGATTCTATTCAACACTCATTAACTATCTAGATGGTGGAATAAAGAGTATTCTTCATTAATTTACACATGGTAAAGCTAAGTAGTACTGCAAGTGCAGTGCAAAATACCATCAGAATGAAAAAGAATGATGCTAAAAAACCTTAAACTACTAAAGGGAAAATGAAATTCAATACAGAAAACTGCAGTGGTAATTGTTAGGTAAAACAAGTTAGCTCAGTAAGTACTTGATAAGTACAAGCCACTAGGCAGCAGTTCAGAGATGGAACTGTGGGTTAAAATAAATAAAAACTCTATAAACAAGCCAAAAGCTTATTGGCTCCATTTGGCAATGGTAGATTTATGCTGCAGTATCACATACCACTTAAGTCCAGCACTTGGAAAAGACATCAACAGCAAGTGTCTAGAAGACAGCAACAATCAGAAGTTAGAAAACATGAGCTGTACAGAAAGCTAAAAGTGACCTGTGACGGCTGGGCCTAAAGTAGTAGTGGCCGAAGGGAGATGTGACCACCAGCCTTCAATTGCCAGTTCTCAGTATCCATGACTTAAAAAGTAGTAAGTGAGCTTAAACCTTCTGCAGGCTAAACACTAACAACTGTCCAACACTGTGATAGTGAAGCACTGGCAAGGACTCTTCAAGAGGAGATCATGATCTCTCTTTAGCGAAAATATTTAAATACAGACTACAAAACAAAAACAAAACAACAACAACAAAAAAAAGCATGCCAGGAACAACCCTGACTTTGGGAGGACTTAGACATAGAGAATCTTTCCAACCCTTTCTTCTCATTGTACAAAAAGCAGATACATATATTAAAAGTTCACAGGATAAACAACTCTTAAATTTTAAGTTGCAATGTGTGTGTAACAATTCACAAACAGGCAAAGAAAGTTAAGAGTCTTGAAACTCGCCTCTTATGTAGCTCAATAGCTGAATCATCTTTGTAGCAGGACAAACAAATACAGAATTACTCTTCTCCCAGTTGGAATTACTGTTCTCCCAGTTATAGTGTATAAAGCTGCGTACTCTGGGAGATTTATCAGGAAGGCATTTCCTTCATAAGTTAGAAAAGTCACTCAGAAAAACAGCCAGAGTATCTACTCTTTTTTTCCTCCACCTATGCACGCTCTTACCTATCAACATAGAAGAATTTAAAAAGCCAGTAGAAATGCAAAACAGTGTTTTTTGTCCCCCCCAATATTCCATTGATCCCAGATCACTAATTACCTTCCCTGTTTTCTGCCTTGTATGCATGAATATAAACTATGAACTTTCCCCCCCAAAAAACATTTTTTCCTCAAAATTTATGTAGCATTACATAAAGAAATCTGTTGTAAATGGAAACTGCCTAAGAAACACACCATGAAAACAAGGACTTCTATGTGCCTGTGCACCTCCTCAGCTGAGGTCACACAAGTCCATAGGATAGCCCATTAGACTTGCATGTTTACAAGCACAGGCTTTTACGGCCCCAGCTACAGTCACTAAACTGGTTATGTCAAAAACTGGGCTTTCTTAATTAAAAATAATAATAACAAAAAGACACGCCTCAATATAGGTAGAATTAAAAAAAAAAAAACCCTTCCTCAACATAAGCTCTGCTCAAAGTATTTTCCCCCATCACATTGCATTTTGTGGTACAGAACTTTGTATTTGTGTTAGTGAGCTGCTTGGATATTTAACAATTTAAAGATACAAACCACTATGAAAGACCAAGCATTAACTTGCAAGTGCTCTGCAGGAGGAGTTTACCAACAAGAGGAAAGTGCTCATAAATAAATAAATAAATATACTTTCTGAGAATCAAACAGAGCAGAGCACTCAGCGCTGAGTGAGAAGCACAACCTGCAGCTCCTTCCAGCAGCACTTGAGGACACGGAGGCCGCTCGCAGAGGTGCGCAGGTTACTTAAACCAAGGCACTCCCCGCTATAAACCTCCTTCGGGGGGTTCTGAGAGCTCACCGGCAAAACCAGCCCTAACCCCTCGCACCCCACGAGCTCCCGCAGCCCCGGAGCGCGTTTCTGCGACCGTTAGGCTAGAGGGGGCGGCTGAGGGACCCAAGGCACCAGCCTCGCTGCTGGAAGTGCCCCTCTGCAGGCTGTCGATGCTGAATTGTATACTGAGTTCAGATAGTAGGTAAATTACTCTTCTTTAAATGTGCATTAAGCAGTTTTTTTTTTTTTTTTTTTTTTAACATGGAAATCTATCATTGCTCTCCAGTCAGCTTTAACACTTAGCAGGTTTGTAATAAATACACAAGCAACAAAAGCTTCAGCATTAGCAGAGATGTTAAGAGAGCAATTAATTAAGCCACATTAGTACAACGTGATCAAAAACGAGGCATCAGTATCCTCGGGGCAAAAACACATTTCAGGTCAAACTTTACAAATACACACACGCATGTGTGTACGAATATAAATGCTACACACGCAAAAATACAGAACATAGATCCTTATTTTAAGTATTAAAAAGCATCAAAGTAACTATTTTCAGTAGCTGCTTAGTTTATTTGCACTGTAAATTATTTGAGATCAGCTTTTAAAGCTCCTTTGATTTTTAATATGCACAAAAAGAAACCATTGTCTAACACTGCGTATGCCGAGTGCCTGGCACCACCCAATGGCAGCCATCAGAAATGCAGATGGCAGTTCACAGAGATGGAAAATTTCTCATCAGCTAGGAAGCAGTTTTCCAAAGATTATGTTCCAGTATTCCTTTCCTCAGAAAGTCACTTTATTATAAATTGTAAATAACTGTTTCTTTCCCTTCTGAAAGAAGCTGCTAAGAAGTAGCCTGGTATTGCAGCTCTCAGCTTGCTCTTCATCACCTTCTTTATGAAGGCTGGTCTTCTAATCACACCCTCAAAATGAGACAATCGGTTCGCGGTCCCGCCGCCCCGTCCTCGCGGCACCGCTCGTGCCTGAGCGCTCGAGAAACGGATCCGGGCTTGGAGTCTGCGGGGAGCCTAGAGCAGCGCTTACAACCGGCCCCTGCAGCCCCAGGAAAGGGGCTTCTGCACTTAAGTCGCATGAAAAAGAGTAAAAGGTCTAGGCGTGCTGCCTAACTGAGCGTCAGGCAGCTTCGAAGCCCTTTATAACCCCGACCTGAAGTTGCCGGCTGGGAATGTTTTGATAACAAAGTTCATCTTGTCCCCGGAGATGCGAATTAGTTGGTGGTGAATGAAGTTAGTGAAACGGCAGTTCTGCTGTTGTAGTGCTACATGGCCTGGTGGCAGTTTCTTTGGAGGCATGATTGCTAAAGCTGCTTGGGTTCGGATCACAAGAGGAAAACAAGATATATGTAGGCTATCAAAATTACCGTTGCCAGAACAACGCCGGTGTTGTGAAAAGGTAAAGTCTGCAGGTCTGTCGTCTCTGTTTCACTTTGATAACGCCCTGCAGAACTTTGAATTTACCTTGAAACCTGGAAACACTGTGTTATGGCAGCCCAGCTGGGTGTTGCAGAACAGGCTGCTCTGCTGGAAACTTCATTATGCTCAAAATTCTACTTAATCTGGGCTGCACGATTGTAGTTACTAAGTTTGTTCTTGCTAACAGAAGATTACGCTGTTCTGCTGTCCCGAGCTGTTGCATGTGTGCTGCCGAGCAGGAGCCAAGAGGAGGGCCCTCCGATGGTCCAGACTTAATATTCGGATCAGATAGTGCCACAGATCTTTCTTGTCTGTGCTGTTGATACGGCTTTTTTGTTTTGTTTTCCCCCACATATCAGCCTATATGAACTTTATAAACAGCAAGAAGTTGGGAGATTTTTAGGTCTTGGTTTAGTGTTCTTGTCTGTGTCTAGTCAGAGCTGTTGAAGATAAGCGCTCGTGAATGTGCTGCGCCCAGATTAAGTCAGGGGCTAGACCTGCAGCAAACGGTTACACGCACGTACACGCGCACGTTTGCGCACCTGCCCCCTTGCAGCGGTGCCACCTCCAGCGTGCGTGTAACGTCCTTCTGCTGGAGGCACCCACGGGAGAGCTGGCGGCGCTGGAACGTGCAAACGCCTCCGTGCAAAGTCTGATCGCCGCGACGACGCGGGGGCAGGAGGGCTCCGGGTTAAGCGCTCGGGCTCCACGAGAGCCGTGTCCTGCTGCCGTGTCCCTGCCAGGATGTCAGCTCTGTCAGCTGAGGCGACGCGGCAGGGTGCAAAATAAAAGCACTTCTCTGAACGCGCTGTGAAAATATGTTAAATTACGCTATTATTATTATAGTCCCAGCTCTTATGTAAGAGAGCAAATTGGTTGTGCCCTGTGGAATAATGGTGCTGAAACTATGGGAGTGGATGGGAGGGGAGAACTCCTTTGAAAATCCAGTGGTTAACAGCTGTATTAGTTGGATAGAGATTCAAACTAAACAGTGTAATAAAAATTACTTGCTGCTGTCCATCTAGGAGCTGAAGCTGCCCTCATACAAAGGCCAGTCTCCTCAGTTGCACCTAAGAAGATACTTTGCAGATCTGATTGCCATCGTGAGCAATCGTTTCAGGCTCTGTCCCGCTGCGCGACATCTAGCTGTGTATCTGCTGGACCTCTTCATGGATCGTTACGACATATCCATTCAGCAGCTGCATGTGGTTGCTCTTTCCTGTCTACTTTTAGCAAGTAAGTATGTTGCACCAAATTTCAATTAACTAGAGCAATACAGGTTCTGCTGCCAAGTACAAAGAACATCTGGATGGGGTACTTGTAAAAGCCAATTATCATATCTAAATCTGGCCCAATCGGTAGACTCTTTGTTTAAACTCATTTTGACTTTTATTGATATCTGAGAGGAGAAAAAACAAACAGTGATTAAAAAATAATAATAGTAAAAGATGTTTTTGTTTAGAAGCACAGATTTTTCTAAGATGAACTTTTTGAGAGACATAGGAATAGAAAAGCTGTCCTTTTAAGGACAATAAGTGCTGGAAAGGAGGGGAAATCAACATAACCTGTGAGAAACAAAATAAACAAAACAAAATACGGAGAGTGTCCTGCACCCTGTTGATGATGATCCACTCTCTGGAGTGCTTCAGACTGCGTATGTTGCAGTGTTCTTTAAGCAAGCTAAGGCTAACAAAAAGCCTGCGTTGTCACATACAAATGTAGCAGATGAAGTACGGTGATCACACAGTACACTATTGTGTACTTGGAAGACTGAAATAATTACACTCACTCATTATGAACTGCCCTGCCTATGCTGACCTCAGCTTGATTCTTGGGATATGTATACGTATCTTTACAGTTAGTTTCTCTTTTAGAAATTCCCCAAGAGATCTGCCCGTGGCGTGCTGCAATACTGCCTTGTCCAAGCAGCAGCAGAACTAGCTGCTGCTCCGGATTCTGCTGATCCGTTTCACAGAATCACAGAATGGCTGAGGTTGGAAGGGACCTCTAGAGATCATCTAGTCCCCCTTCCCTGCTCAAGCAGGGACACCTAGAGCATGTGACGTAGGGTGGAATCCAGGCGGGTTTTGAATTGTCATTTGTCTGAATCTGTTTTCCCTTTGTCAAACAAGATACTGTATGTCTAGGCTCTCTCAACTAGAAAGCTAGACTGCAGAGATGTTGACTGTTTTGGTATGCTGCTTCCTTTTGCTGCATTGTCTCCATCAATATAGCTGCTCAGCAGAATAGTGAAGGAACAGGGTGATTTTGGATTCTTCTGGGGATGAACTTCAACTGGATGCCACCAGCCAGCAATCTTTTCTTGGCAAAGGAAGGGGCTCTGAATATGAGAACTGTGTCTCAGAAACCAGTTTAATCCATATTAATACCAGGTTTTCAGATGAATTTCATGTTCTGAAGAAAACTTTTTGTTTGCTTTGTGGTTGTGTTTTGGTTTGTTTTTTCTTATCACCTCTCCAATCTTTCCTAACAAGCTGCAAGTAGAGCTTAGAAAAAGCCTGCAGTACTCGCTCTGGTGAGAAGCAGAGTATGAGCAGAGTTTAGAGAAGCAGAGTTCAGCAAGCGCAAACCAAAATGCTGTTTTAAGCTTTCATCCTATGTGGCTCAAATAAGTAGTTTAATCAGCAGTACAGTAAGCTGGACAACCCAAGTCGCAATACATATGGAAAGGTTATCAAAAGTATTGAGAAAAGTGATTAAATGATTCTTTAAGCTTATATTTCTGTAATCAACAGAGTATGGGACCCAAACTAACAGATGGGGGCTGGTGTTGCTTAAGTCCTGTACAGGTATCTCCCACTGTTGGAAAAAATCAAATGTTCACTAGATTCAATCTTGCAAAGGTGCCTAAAATGTTTATCCACAATATACTGTGTAGCACTGCCAGTGAGTGTAAGATGGAAAGAATTTGCAATGAAACTGAAATAGCACAACCATATGGCAACTTTAAGGAAATGTGACACTTGTTTCCCTGCTTAATGGGTTTTCTACACATATGATTTTGCTTCAGGCTGAACACATACAGGACAGGCAAGTTAAAGTCCAGGGAAAGCTGAAGCTACTAGAAGTGTTAAAGTTGAAACTGTGTTTACAGCAGTGTTGGTCTTTGGATGTTCGTTGCTGACATGTATTGTTTGAAATGCTGGAGCAGCTATTCAGTTATCAAATCTAAAATGTACCTACCACAAACAAACATTAAGAATAACTGCATTGATCAGAGATTGATTATACTCCATAACTTTTAAAAATGAGTGACAAGGGGGAGGATTAAGGATAAATGTTGTACTGCTGTGTACTGCAAGTCACTGCACTGATATTTCATTGATGATAATGACACGTTCTACAATAGTTTGATTTCTCTCTGCTACACTAGTGATATCTCATATAGCTTGGCTTGTTTCTGTTCTCATCAGTTGGTTTCTGGTCTGTGAGTGAGAGAAGCACTAGGAAATGCCACCCTGTGCCATATCCTACATGCTGCTGGACATTGGCTGCTGGATTCTAACATTTTATAGCAGAGGATTCTATAACTCTACTTTGAAGTCTATATTCTAAAAAGGGATTCTAACCCTTTTTGTCCCAGAGGAAATCTTCTATTTGAGCTTTGCTTTCCAAAGACAGTCACAGGCTTGTTTGCTGTAGTAGAAGTATGGCCAAAACAGACACTAGATGCAATCTGTTGTACAGCTTACTCATACTAAACCTTTTCTCCCCTCCTCTTTCTGTTCACCTGAAGGTAAATTTGAAGAAAAGGAAGACAGTGTTCCCAAACTTGAACAGTTGAACAGCTTGGGTTGTATGACTAACATGAACCTGGTACTAACCAAACAGAACTTACTTCATATGGAGTTGTTGTTGCTAGAAACATTTCAGTGGAATTTGTGCCTCCCAACTGCTGCTCATTTCATCGACTATTATCTTTCTATTGCTGTACACGAGACTGATCTACATGATGGCTGGCCAATGGTTTGCTTAGAGAAGACCAAGTTATATATGGCAAAATATGCCGATTACTTTCTGGAAGTATCACTGCAAGGTAAGTTACATATTTCAATTAGTGATATCTTTGTTCTTGGAGACGAGTATTGTCCAACTTACATGAATCTCTCTTCTTTGTTCTCTAGATCATGCATTTTTAAGTTATGCCCCTTCTTTAGTTGCTACTGCATGTGTAGCTTCTTCCAGGATTATCTTGCGTCTCTCACCAACATGGCCTACTCGACTACATCATCTTACTGCATATTCCTGGGATTTTTTAGTGCCATGTATTGAACGACTATTAATGTAAGTTAGTAATAACTAAGCTAATAATAGTTTTTTTTTTTAAAATACCCATTTCCCAGTCTGATAGTATTCATTCATATTTACACCAAAAGCTGTATTTCTTGAAGTTCAATTTGTCTAGTCTGAAAATATTTAGATATTAGGTAATATTCAAACTAAGTGAAATACCTGTTTAGGCCTTTCAAAAAAAAAAAAAAAAGTCTTATCTGATCAGACATCTTTTGGCATGCTCAGGCAATTTATTAAATGACTCATTCCCAATCTGCATAGGCTGTTTAAATACAGAAGGCAATAGAGAATAAGATGGGAGGCTTGTGAGCTTCTGTTTGCTCTAAAAGCTCCATGTCCTGGAAGCTCAAGGGATGCTCTGAATGGTTTGTGGGTCAAAAATACAAATTGTTTGAGGCTAATTTTGGAGGGAGGAGATGACTTGAGAGGTTTTATTCATTTTTGCCCAATCCTGAAAAGACTCTTACACAACCTGTTCCCTTATTCCAAAACTTATGATCAAAATTATGTCCATCATAATGACTTTCCTCCTACAGAAGTTTGTTCTTGCACAGATTTCAGTATCGTTTGGCAGTGGCAAAGTGCAGGAACAGCTGTACATGGTGATTGCATCTTTGAGAGAAAAAATCCTGCAGTCATGTCAAGGCCCAGTAATAAGTTAACAACCTCTCAGTAAAAACTGGTGAGGGGTTGAGCCCCACCTGTCTTCAAAAGAGCAGTTTGTGTCAGACTACTTAGCAGATTTTTAGCCTGATGGAATAAGTAGCACCTGCTTAACCCCAGCACAAGAACAAGAGAAAGAGCATATACATAAGAGTATATGCATAAGTATATACAAAGAGTAAATACATTTGAGCAACTATAAATCTAGAGGAATTCAGGTGAGCTAAAAATGTCTAGTTCCATATTGAGTGGACTAGAAAAAGAGCTATGTGCATTTCTACTTCTCAGAGCATACTTAAAGATCATATGTATATTTATATACAAGTACGGTAGTAGAGATCATTAAAAATCCTTTGATGATACCACATCCTTTTAAAAAACATTGTCTTCTGCTAGCTAATTTAAATGAGGTAGAAAAAAGGTTCAAGTTCTGGTAAGTTGGCACTTCACTGAAGTATCCCAGCAGATCTCACTTAACTGATATTTTTAGATTACTACTGTTAAATATTTGCTTTGTATCTGCATTTCAGTGCCGCCATAGAGTTAACTGAAATCCTAAATAAAACCCTGTATCCTAAAGAAACAAAATTTAAAACCTCAGATGAGTTTAAATGGTAAGATAGAAATGTGTGGTGGTAATGCGTGGGTTTGCTGTTGTTTGTTTTTTAAACTGTCTTCTTAAAGGTGTTGGAAGCTTTTAGATAAACTCTTCTGGATTCAATTCCAGCCAATGGTGAAATTAAGTGATTTTAATATCCGTATCAGTCTGTTCTGTCCTCTTACTCTCTTTTAGTGCGCATGATAATGATGTGAAGGAAGCAAACAAGCAGAAAGGACAACATGCTCAGGCTGCTCAGCATCCTGGCTTCCAGCCCCAAGCGCCAAGCCCCCAGCAGACGAGTGTTCAGCACCATATTCCACAGTATCTCCAGGCTCATCAGCCTTCATTACAGTATCACCAGCAAACATCACAGCAACAAAACTGTCAACAGATGATATCAGCAAATCATACATCATCCTACCCGCTTCAGACTTGCCCTGCTGCCTTGCAGGCTGGTGCTCAGGCTCGAGGCCACGTTCCGGCTGCCGCTGCTGTGTCGCTCGCTGTTCCGCTAGAGGTGAAGCCCTGTGTCAGCGTCTCCTACAACCGCAGCTACCAAGCGAACGGACGATACTCCTGTATTACTCCCTGCTTTGAGAGGTGATAAGTATACAATCAGTTTCATGTTCGTTGGTTTGGGGTGGGAAGCTGTGTTGAGGGGAATTGTTTTTGGTTTTGTTAAACCTCAATTAAGTCTGAGGGCAGTAAGTTGGAAAAAAAATAGTGCCTTTCCAGGAAAGGGCAACTGGAATGGCAACCAGTACCTTAGCTCAGATACAGACTGTGAAGAACAAGCACACAGAACACCCTCTAGAAAGAATGTAGGTATCTGGGAGCAGTAAGTTCTCACTCTGGCACTCACAATATTCTGTGCTTCTAACACACCTTGGAAGTACTAGTCAACAGAAAAACATCTGTGGACTAACTACAGGTTTATCTTTTAATGAAGGAGATATGCAGTATTATTTTGAAGACCTTTATATAATATCACCATACAGTATTAACACTTAAAATTTATTGAAAAATGAAAATCCGATGAATGCCAGACTTCCCCAGATACATGGGGACCACAGGAAGACAGAAACCTCTCTTGGATAATTCCATACTTTTGCCCACCTTGCCACCCCCTTTATTTTTTTCAGCTCTTTGATATGTGCTTTAGACTAAGGCATTTGAGTTAACTGGTGTTTTGGCTACTTTTAAGTTTTGTACCTCACAGGATAGACACTCTGTTCTCCCTCTTCTTCTCCTCGTTGTCCTTTTTATGTTTAAAGTTAACTCTTTCATACTAACTCAGGGAATTTTCTACTCATTACTCTGTGCTGCTGGTTTGTATGCTTAATTGGGGGAGGATATGAGGGAGGAGGGTAGAGAGAGAGGGAAGAGAATATAGGACAAGTGGACTGGGTTTCCTTCAGGGCATCTATATGCAGAGTACCAAAGGGACATGACAATGTTCACAGAATGTAAATGTGAACTACCAGCCAGCAGTGTGGTGTTGAGTAATTGCAGAAAAGAAAGAGTTTCAGCTGAACTTTTACTGTACCAGAACTGCTGCAGTGGCTGTGACTTGTCTGTACGTACACACACACACACCAGAAAACATCCTATTATTTTACTAGCAGTATAACTGTACTTTTTTAAATTTTTCATACAGTCTAAACACTTACAGAAATTCATTTTTGTATCAGTCTTATAGTGGAAGAAAATTCTCAGGTAATAGTAGGGCAGCTTCTTCTGCTATTTGCATGTTCCAGGAAAAAAAATGCAGATTTACCCTTCTAAATGGGTGGATCAAAATTGTATTCCAGAGTGAATTGCTTAATCACAATTAAGGTGCTAATTACATAAATTTATGAAATTACACTATCTCCTGTGGAGTGGATAGTCTGAGGGTAGAAAACTTCACTCATCCAACTCTTGGATGAAAATGATGGTAAAGATAGTAATTAAGAAATCTTCCCTTTTTTATATATACAAATATATGCGATAGTTGCCTTGCTCCTGTGGTAAGATGTGGCATCAATGACAGGATTCCTGTGACCTTGAAATATGATTATAGGATGTGGACATAAGACTGTCTTGTTTGTTCTTTTACCACCTCCTTTTCCTCTTAGTGGCAGCACTTAAAATCATGCATCATCTAACAAAAGTGCTGTATTGTCAACGTTTCAAAACAGTCTTTGTAAGTAGAGGCAATTAACATGTTTGTTACCAATATTAAGATGAAGGCTTTATCACAGAAGAGGACTTGCCATAATTTTCAGAGGTGAGAGTAGACAGATGGTTGTTCTTTCTAGAGCTGAATGATAACATGCTACAAAAAAAAATTATTTTGGAGGAGAAGAAATCCTGTTTCTCTTGTTTTGTCTTAGAATAAATCCCAATTGCTGTTGTGGATTTTTGTAGCAGATGTGTGCAAGTCAAGTGATGAAGGCATAGGAGGGTGAATGAAAGAGATGACCCTCTCTGCTTTATTCTAGAGAATAAACTTTGATAGAGGCATAGTTGGTCAATTCTTCCTCTCAGTGAAGTTTTTGGGGTTGTGTTTTTTTGGGTTTTTGTTTGTTTGTTTTTCTTCTCCCCCTCCCTGTGTCTTCATGAATATTTCCCCCTGTCTGAGAGTAGTGTTAAGTAGAGACTTTCCACTGCCTAGGATGCCATGCTTCTTATTCAGAAGTGTTACCTCTTTAAAAGATAAACTTCCTTCTGCAGGTTCAACGTTGTTGCAATACGATATCCAAGTCTTCAGTGCTCTAACTACCTCTGATGCTATGAATGTACAGTCTTGTAATAGACCATGACTTGAAATAACAGCAGATGCCTGTAGCGTTCTTCTCTGTAAAAATTCTTCAATTGGCTAACTTGTCATCTTTATTTGTGATGCAGCAGTGTAGGCTTTTCTTTGGAGTATTAGTAAATTTATCCCCTAGTCTTTTGATTATATTAAATTAACTAATACCTAACACTGGAATTAAAAGGGGCAGGGGGACTCTTCAGTTAATACTGCAAATAGGCATTTAATAGGGTATTTTTATTTTAAGACTCTAGGTTAACTGTTCAAAGACCCACTACTTTTTTAATTTATTATTTAGTTCTTTCTGACACTACAGCTTCATGATGATTACAGAGAAAATGTACACTGAACAGTTTCGATATTATTTAAAAGAGCTTTACAAGTGTACATTAAAAATACACGGTGTTCTTACAAAAGGTGTATTTTATGGTATTAATAAGAATGGTGCTCCTAAATGCAAAATGTCCACAACAATGGAATCTTTGTGAGTGCTATGCATTCAATTTATTTTTAAAAATAAAACTAGTTTTGAGTAAGAGGTCTCTAGTGTGTATTATACTTTGTTTTGGATCCTGATTTGTCTCCACTCCTCATTGCAGAAGGGCTGAAAACATGAAGGCTTTTTCTTTTCTCGTCCCCCACCCCCTTCTGTGACACTGTAATAAACTCCAAAGTGATCTGACTTTACAATGTTAACAAAACAGGAAGGAAATTATGCAGGAAGGGGTTTTCAAACTAATTGCACCCACAGCATATGCTAAACCCTGCACAGTGCAGCAGTGCTGTATCTAGTACACAGCTGCACCAAAGAAAGCCCAAGGAACAAAAGAACAGGAGGAGGAGGGTGAATTCATTCTGTTCTCATTTAAAAAAAAAAAAAAAAAAGACAGCCCTGGTGCTCTCGTATTTGCAATATTTCAAGTAGGAACAGCCTCTTTCTCAAGAGCCTCAAGCACATTATGTTCTTCAGTTATTTGTGATAGCAGCAAGGCCTTAATTCAGCAAAAGGACACTTCAAACTTCTGGTAACTGCTTGCCCTTGAGAAGAACTAGAGTTCCCCTTTAATAACATGTACAGGTTCTAGCTTAGAAAAAGGGCTAGCTGAGGATGCCTAGGGCTCCAAAAATAAAGTTGCTTGGACAGAATTTCATTCTTCTAAAGTTAGAGGATGAAACTAAAATCTTTGTTAATTAACACTGATGCCTTTTGGAAGAAAACTAAAGCTGGGGTGCCAAAGATGGGATCCAAATGAGGAAAAAGCAATGCTTCCTTCACAGCGTGGCACACACATTACCCTGACAGTGCTGATCTAGAACAGTAGCTTGTTCTCAGCCCTAGGGCAGCAACATCACAGCTCACAAGACTGCCGGAATAGCTAGACTTTTCAGCTCAAAGTCACTAATTTTAAAATTTCTACTGTAATTACAAGTAGAAACTACTACATGGCCTTTAGGAACTTCAGACATTATATTGTAAGTCTGAAGTTCTGTATCTGTAAATAAAAAAAGCCTCTCAACTTCTAGATAGAAAGTAAGACTATGAGCACTGCAAATTTAGTTAAGTTGATAATTAAATTGTTTAGCAGTTGGCACATCATTAGGAATAAAATGCTTGCAATTGTAATACTCTTGTTGAATAGGTATACGCCAGAAAGTAAGGCAGCTCTCTCCTTCAATAATTCATGGGCTCTACATTCTAAATCTATGCAGGAACAGAAGTCTGTGGACTAGATAAGGTCTTATCTAACTGAACCCAAGTGCCCAGTTAGCAGCCTGTTATTATTTCAATAGTCAAAAACAGCACTTTAATATATTTATTAACATTATGTAAAGTGGCACTAATAAGGTATGTACTATAATTTTTAGTCTCTACTACAATGCTAGCTGTAGAAGTTATAGTACCAATGTGTTTGGCAAACTTAATCACAGGGAAATATGAAAATGCATAATATAAAGTGTTATGTAATAAAATGAAGTGTCCTCAAGAAATAAGATATACATTCTGATAAAATATTTACCACTAAACATTAAAAAAAACCACACCCATTTTACAACTAATTAATTGAAAGCAATTAAACAGTAGCTTAAGGTTTCAAAGATTCTCAGTACCACCAAGGATCTGGCTTCTGCTGCCAGTACTGGGAGTACTTCTGCCCAGGTACTTGGAGTAAATGGGGAGAAGGGAGCCTGGAGGATGACATACAGGGGTTCAGACTATGGAAACTCTATGCTGAATCTTGGGTTTGTATTCACCAGCGTGTGTCAGCTCAGTCATCTTACCCCTCTTGCGCATTAGCTGTTCCATGTGCTCTGTGGTATTTGAAAACACTATCTGCCCTCCTCAGAACATTAGAATTTACTATCCTGAAGCAGCCAGGTAATCAGAACACTTTCATTAAACAATCCATTTGATCTGCCTTAAAAGTATACATTTTCCATACTAATGAATTAGCCACTCCAAGCCAAAAAAAAAAAAACCCACAACCCAACCAAAAAAAGAACAGCAACAACATAACCCACAGAATGCCTGAAGATCATCTAATCCAGCCACCTCAGCTCAACCCAGGTCATCCACAGCACATTGCAGAGGATCGTGTCCAGGCAGGACATGGTCAATTACTAATTACTAGGAGATTTACAGGCCATTACAATGTTGTTTTACCATGTATTTAGTGGATAATGTGCAGTTAGAAACTTTCTGCAATAAATCTCTAACAACGTACAATATAGTGGTTCATTTCTTGTGATACTAGGAAGATGTATTATGAGCTAGCTGTGTTTTACAGCTATTAAGTTCTATTTCTTATTTTGCATGTCTAGAATAATCATCCTATGAAACATAAGCAGGAATAACTTCATTTTTTAACTAAATAAAACTTGTTCATCATGGATTAGAAAAACTAAGTAGACCCACACAGATAAAATATTATTTGGATATGGATGAATATACTGAGCAAGAGAAAATTCTATGCTGGGAATTT